ACTCAATTATTTATATGTTTTAATAGTGACTCAATTAATTGCGTCAAATAATTGTATCAATTGTGTCAAGGATCTATAAATTTCAGTAACATGTATAGTCTATAGTGTAATGGTTAACACTCCACAGATCAAATCACAAGATACCAGTTCAATCTCATGTGAGGGTGGTTGAATAGAATTAATATAATACCTGGCACCATAAACTGTTAAGTACTGTTTCTCATAAGAAGCTATTTCATATGCTGATCCAGCAGGCGTTGAGATTGTGATTTTCTATAAAAGATGCTGTGGCGCAACAATCATCCGGTTGATGTTATAATGATCATTGTTCAGTTTGGTGCAATCTCCGGTTCCACAATAGGTCATTTCCCTTCCTTATAGTTCATGAGACTATAAAAGAAATATAATATGGAGGGCCACAAAACTGGAAAACTGTTCAGTAAGACTTTTAACACACCCCCCCTTCAATATGAGTTATGACTCGCCAGCAATATCTACCATTCTTATCTATAGTAAAGATACTTAGTTAGTAACAATTGCCAAAATGAAAGACTCCTCTTAAGACTTAATCTGACTTTGAAGGAGTTGCGCCCTCTTAAATAAGCAGCCTATGCTTGAAGCCTAGCATTATCTAAAAAGGATTAGATTGTCAACCCCGTGTTTAAAAATATTGAAACAAACTCTGGCCAATAGGTTCCATCCGCTTCCCCAAATGGTGACAATTCAGGTCCAAGGTCTTAAATAAGATAAACTATCAGGAGGAGATAGAGATACAGTACTCCGATGGGTAATTTGATTGGTGGTTGAATCTTATTGGAAAGTTTACAAATTTGAGACTGGAAGATATAGAAAATAATTGGTGTGTTTAAATAGTTCTTATAGATAGGCTGCACTCAGATAGTATACTTGTGGATGAATTCCAATTGTAAGATTTTAAGTGTGAATAGAAATATATATAATGTATGTTATTCACAACAAAATTAATAAATTAGAGTAAAGCTTACTTGCATTAAAAAAAATAAAAATAATAATAATAATAATTTATATAAACTAAGTTATATTTAATCCAAATTTAATTCGTATCTAATTAGATTTAAAAATTTAAAATTCAATTTGATTCAAGTCTGATCAGATTAAAAATTTTAAAATTCAATTCAATCTAATTTATATTCAATTTGCAGATTATTTGAATTTGAATAAAAATTGTAATCCTTATCCAGGGTTCTTAACAATATCACTTTGATATTTGTTTAATATTTAAATTTACTATAAAAACATATACAGTAAGTAGATCACAATCCATATATTAAATTTATTATAGATCAGTACCATTTCGATACCAGTTTGATATTAGTTTAGTACTTTTCAAAGCCCTAATCACAATTATATATTTTGGACAGTAGCCTAACTAATCATAAAGGTATATTCTTCAATATATTCAAACAGATTGGATCTATCAGAGTGATGTACTGAATAAGTATTCTTAATTATATAATTAGTTTTACTACCATATATTTAAATAACAATTCAACCAATCAACTACTACTATCATGTATCAACAGCTATTAAAAAAACATATCATCATCATTACTATATACTTTGAACAGTAGTCTGGCCAATCAAAGTAGTATATTCTTTAATATACTCAAATAGAATAGAATTACTAGAGTAGTGTGCCAAATAACTATTCTTAATTATATAACAAGTTTTATTATATTTCTCACTTGTATAATATTAAATATAGAAATTTTTTTTTTCTCAACTTTCTTTTACTTCTTATTTCATTTATGTCCAATCAAAAATTCTAAATAAGTAAGTATAGCCACTACTCAACTATATTTAGTATATATAATATTGTTTTAAAATTTCTTTTCAATATTAGCTAAATATAGATATGTAAATAGGCTAGCATTTAACTAGTTATATACTTTGCATCCAAGAGATGTTATTTCTTTCACTAGTATATTTATCAATACTATAACATAAAAAAAGAATATTTACCTATCAGAAAAAAATAAATAATATAATATAATAAAAAGAATGTGACAATTATCAATAAAGTATAATTTTGTCAATTCTAATTATAATCTATCATTATTTTTAATAGTGTTTTGAATCTTATATAAGTTTATATAAGTTTGTTCGATTTCAATTTTTAGAATTCTAATTATTTTATATTTAAAAATAAAATATTTAATAAAATATTCTAAATTAATAGATATGGCTACTATTTCTTTATCTAATACATTAATATTGTTTTTAAAATTTTTTTCAATATTATTTAAATATTATTAAAGTAAACAGTTAGCATTTAACTTTTAATATACTAAAAGAAATGTTTTTTTTATAATATACTGTATATTGTTATATAAAAATCAAATAAAAAAAATAATATTTATCTATTAAAAAACTTTTCTTTAAAAAATAAATTAATAAAATTTAAAAATATATATATATAAATTTTAGCAAGAAAATATATAATATATAATAATAATTTAACAAATTAAATATAAAAAATTTAATATTTAAATATATAAAAATTTTAACAATTTAAATATAAATTGATTTTGATTTTTCAAAGCAAAGATTTTGATATCTAGTCTTGAAAAGAAGCAATTTCTATTATTTTTACAATTATATTTAAAGAGTTAAAATTAAGAATCCTAACAATCTTCTTCAATTCTATATTTAATTCTCAAGTTTATATTAAATTTAATAGGTAGTATATATTCTATCATTATTTTTAATAATGTTTTAAATCTCATGTGATTCCCTGTGATTCTGTTCAATTCCAATTTTCAAAACTATAGTTAAGATTTAGAAAGTATAAAATAGTTAATATTATACAGTAATAGTTTAATAAATCTACTCTCTTATGGTAAAATAGTTAGTAAATGACTAAATCATATAGGAAATACAGTGATTTTTGTATTAAGAATTCAAGGGTTATATATAAAACCAAACTTATTAATGGGTGTTTTACAAAGTAAAACTAGTTTAACTTTAGTATAATACAATATTATATGTATATTATATTATTGTTGTCTAAAAATTAAATTAATAAATGCTAAGACTTACAGTCTAATTAAAGGCAAATATATATACGTATATATATATATATGAAAAATTAAAAAACAAATTTATTATATAAAAAAATTTAGCAAAAAATGTGAAAAAATTCAATAAAGTAATAAAATTATTAACTTTACTGGATAAAATATTAAGTTTTTGATAAAATAAATTTCAATATACAAAAAGACCTCCCTAAATGCACCTTCTATAAATGCACTTACTATATTTTTTCTCTCTAAATGCACAGTCAATCTTGGTTCCAAGTACATAGAACTCTTAATAAAATTATCTCCATAAATGCACACCCTCTATAAATACACATTTTTCAAAAAATTTCCTATGGTTCCGAGGGGTGTGCATTTAGAGAGGGTTCACTGTATATACAGGTATATATAGACAAATTATATGCCAGTTTATAACCAAAGTTTATACTATGTAAATTTAATTAATTGTCAAATTATTTACTTTTTTGCCGAATAATTAATAAATGACATGTCAAATAATTTATTTTCGACTAATGTTATTATTTATTCAATAATAATTAGAACATGTGTAAGGTATTAAGTTAAAATACAGAAACAATAGGATCGTCGGTTGAGTAAAATTTTAGTGTTCATTCCCCAATGAATCTCGAAATTTCGAAAAAGCTATAATGTATACGTTGATAATTGTCAACTTTAATAATAGTAATTGCATTTTATTTCGGGAGAACGTTACACGACCTTAAAAAAAATGGACGATATGATATCGTAAGGATCCATTCTTTAGATAATGCATAAATCGATCAATTTGTTTATTTCTTTTTCGATATCATTTATTTGAATTCTTAATGGGTTTCAACTAATAAAAGTTGTTAAAGAACATACATTCTGCAGGAAAAAAAAAAAAAAAAAAATCCTTACCTTAAATGATCATAATTACCGTCTTTAATTGAAACGTGGCTTATATAAATTGATTCCTCACGCATATACTGTAATTCACACTTCACAACACGAAACTATGCTTCGTTCAACCTTTTCTCGAATAGGCCTTGTTACGAAATGCCCATTGATACGTTTATCGTTAATCAGTAATGCGAATGGATCCAGAACGCTAGCAATAAGAGCCCAGCCACGAACTTTCACAACGACAGTATATCGTCGACGAACCGCTAATATGAATAAACAGAATCCACCACAAGTAAAAAGATCAGGTCCGCATCCTGCTGCTTTACTGGCCATCGTGTTAATTGGGTCGGCGGCATATCATGTTTTAGTAAAATCTCGAGGTAGGCGCTTTTGACAAGAGATGGGATAATTCTGCAAACGGCAAAGTTGCAGGAAGATTGAATGAACGTGGAAAACCTGAATTGGAAAGCTTTTTACCTCAGATTCATAATGCTGCGGACTCTCTTGATCCACTCTTATATTTGATTCTTATTGCATATCTGTACAGAGAATTTACAAAAAAAACCAAAAGGACAATTAGAGAGAGCATCGCCCAGGTTTAAAAAAGATGAAGTAACGGTCGTTTTTGTGATAGGTAGGAAAGAGAAAATTTCTCGAAATTTTTAGGCTTCTAGCACCAACAAGTTTTCATCTTTTCATGATAATGGTATCATAGGTGGACCCGGCTCGGGTAAAGGCACTCAATGCAGGAACATTAGCAAAGAATTTGGATTCACACACTTATCTGGTAAGCAATCCATTGTACCTACTTTCTACCGAGCTATGCGAGAGGTTCAAAATTAAATTTAATCATGATAACTAGCTGGCGACCTTCTTCGCGCTGAAAAAAAACGACCGGGATCGAAATATGGTGAATTAATTAACACGCGTATGAAGGAGGGTAAGATTGTACCAATGGAAATTACAAACGCGTTGCTCGAGCAGGCGATGCTCGACGACGGCGGAAAACGATTCTTGATCGATGGGTTTCCTGTGCAAATGGGTCAGGCCGTTAAGTTTGAGAAGGAAGTAAGTTTTACCAATGTTTTTGTTAACCTTTAAGCTAGCATTTACTCTCGATCGGCAATTCATGACCAATTTTCAATATTTAGGTTGCTCCAGCCCAACTTGTCTTGTACCTCGAATGCCCAGAAAATGTAATGTTAAAGCGACTCCTCAAACGCGGAGAAACAAGTGGTCGTGTTGATGACAATGCCGAAACTATTCGTAGACGGTTCAAGACATTTGTCGAAAACAGTTACCCAATTGTGGACTATTATAAGGAACAGGGTAAAATTCGTTCGATTTCATGCGTGAATCCGCCTGATGTTGTGTATCAAGAAGTGAAAGAAATCATGAACAAAGAGTTTGGTAAAAACAAGAACGTCATTTAGAGACTAAAAAATACATTTAAACAGTGTACAAATAAGCAATTATCTGCATAAATATTATATATATATTTCTCTGTGTATGCGAAAATGTTCAGGTGCCTACAGCGAATTTAAAGTTGCCAAGTTCAACATGAATAATTTGCAATATGAAATTGATATTTCTTGTCGTCGCCTATATCCAACATAAAGTGACGTTTTCTGATAAATAAGCAAATCTTTATAGGTAAAAGTGATTTAAAATAAATTAGTTTTGTCAGCCTTCACAAGAGATTCAAGTTTCTTGTATGGCTATCCAACTTTTTTGACTCTTTTATCCGGGTAAGGGTTGGTCCGTGCATCTCCTCCACGGGAAATCTAACATATCATAACCACTGTTAATACAATACGAACTAATCTATGACTTGCAAAAACTCAACATGTTAAGGGCGACACTTTTAATGTATCATATATATTTTTATATAGGCCGAATGACAAAAATGCTCAAAGGATCTTTATAATATTTTATACGCGTATCGAGTGGAAGATATTTCATACTCTCGCACAAGAACCAATCGTGTGAATAATTACTAAATTTATTAAAATAATTAAAAATACATTAACCGATCTCTAGAAACAATTCAAAGAAATCAATTATCTATGCGGTAAAAGCTTTTTTTTGGTGTTGATAAAGAAAAAAGTGTTTGTTTTGAAAATTATGTTTAAATCCACTGAAATGATGCCGAATAATATATTGGGTAACTTTCTGACAACAAAATTACAATTACTCTAAGAATTTTCTAGTAATCTACAAAAGAAAAAACACTACATTTACAAAGTAATACATCAAATGTGCACCAGAACATTATATTATGGTATCTTTGGATAGTTTTTTCAAAAGATCATTCCTTTCGTCATCGTTCAAGCCCTTAAAGAGCTCAGATAACCCTTCAAAAACTGCACCATAATTTTCTTTTCCGATGCTCACGATCTGTTGTGAGATTGCCCTATTCCTTATCTCTTCAATCCTCGATTTAATTGGCGACGGCGCCTTATGAGATCCCGAATTATCGTCATTTTCACCAATGTTATCGTCGTTTGACTCGACGCCAATCATTTCATCAAACCATTTTACAATTTCCGCATCCGATTCTTCCCAATCATATTCTGTTCCTATGTCATTATGAAACCATTCAACCAATAAAGCTTTCATCTGAACTCTTGTGAGATGAGAATCAGCCTCACGCATCTTTCTAAACATATATTCCTCATGTAGGCGTCTTCTCACACGCCAATAAAAGTATCTTCTCGCATTCTTCCATTCTAATACCTTGCGTATCGTGTTCTTCGCCTTCATCCTTCCAGGGGTATCATGTAGATCGGCGAATTGAAGTGCGATTTGTGAATAGACCGGAAGTAATTCTTGTTCACGTGCTTCTAGGTGTAATTTAATTTCGAGTTTCTGTGTCTCGGAAATTGATGGATCTTCCAAGGACTTTTTGAGATTCCGATAAGTTTCATCCAGGCGTTCCATTGTTTCAAGTATTCGGGGTCTGCGGTACTTGATCTCAACTACCCCCTCCGACTCTAAAACACCTGCTCTAGATTTGATGTCTGCATACATTTCCATCATGTCTTCGTTAATAGACGGTTCTATCACCACCCAAGCTCCTCCACGAAGTTCCCCATTTGGTACGATGTAAACAAATACCGGTTGCTTGTAATTTGCAAGCCCATCAACTATGTAAGAACCGTATTTCAACACTTCAAGGAACATGTCACGTTGCCCTCCAGAGAATCCTCGCCAATTTGCAAAAATCATTAGCGGCAGTTGCTCACCCTTGTTGAAGTCGTTAATTGCTTGTGCAGTTTTGTAAGCGGAATTTGGATACCACACCTGTCCTGCTTCTACCATAACTTCTTGGTGAGATTCAGCATTGGCTGGATCTGCAGGAACTATATGTTCCACGGTACGCGTCTCCACAGCTATCACTCCCATAGGAACACCCCCAAGTCGAGCACGACCGACCACCTTTTTCAAAACAGAAAATAAGAAAGCTGTTAACATCACAACAGGTCATTACATTTCTTAACAACGTGAAAGGAAACCTACCACTGTCCTTGCCCATCCGGCTAATGTTTCAACAAAAGATCCACGGTCAAAAAATCCGCTAATCCATCTGTTAGTATCATTCTCATTTTCCAATTTCCCTGTAATCAGCCATCGCGGATCATATGGAGCTTTAGGTGGCATATAGTCAATATCTCTATCCCAGGAGTCTGAGGTGGTGAATAGAGGTACCTGTGCATTTTGAGATGACGGTATATACGAAAGCCATTGAATGATCTTCGTGATGCCTTCGAGGTCATTTTGAGCTGTGAGATGAGAGACCCCATTTCTATACATTATTTGGGTACCTCCGAGTTGGAGATTTGATGAGTACACCTCTCGACCTAGCACTTTGTTTAATGCTGGTGCACCGGTGAGTATAATCGGTTGACCCTCATTCTGGATTGTACGTTGTCCCAGACGAACAAGGTATGCCCCGATACCTACAGAGCGACATGTCACCAAAGTGATTGTGAAAATCTCCTCGTATGCACGTGATGTTATCCCGGCTATCAACCCAGAACCCTTTAGGGATTCCACCCCAAGTCCATCATTGACACCAATAATGTCAGTAATTTTGTGTCTTAATTCTCCGTTTTCTATTATCTCCTCAGCAATCACCGATTCTCGACCTTTCTGGCTTAATTGCTTATAGATATCTGAATCCAGATAGAGATATTTAATCCCCTTTGTCGGATCTTCCTTATTCACCCACGAAACCTTAAAGTGGTCAATAATTTCTTCGGCCAGACCTATTCTAGCACCGGAATTGGCGGAGAGATATACTCTTGGAATACCTAATCTTCTAGCAAGTTCGGTTGCCTTGGCAAAAAACTGATCTTCAGTTGGTCCAAACGAGCCGATCTGAAATGTAATGTCATTTGCGATGACGACTATTCTACGACCTTCGGGATACTCCGGAGTGAAGAGTTTTAATATCCAGGCAACCATACCGCATGTATTAGTTCCGGGGGCTCGATCAACCTCCTGCAATTTGTCTTTCTCATCCAAAACAAGCTCCTTAGCCTCCAATACGTCATTTGGACACTTAAGTTTCGGATTGTAATGCGAAGCTCTATTCCACTGAATTCGAATAGCCTGGCGGAATAATTCGGGAAAATCGTAGACATACGTGGTACCTAACAAGTGTGCCTTGTAACGTTTTGGCTGAAGCCATTCCTTGGTCGGATAAGGTGTATGAATTGGTTGGAGGTGCATCGATCCCGCTCTTCCAATTGACTTGAGAATGATATTATCTCGTTCAGTTTTCACTTCTTGGTATGTCTCGACTTTCACCACATAACCAGACACGTTATTAATTATCACCCTCAAAGGATAACGATTGCCATGGACAGGGTCTTCCACTTTGAATCTAACTTCGGCACCTGTAACACGCAATCTCCATAATCTCTTTCCATGTCTATCTATAAAGCCTTTGACCGCCTCCTCTACTTGATGTGGTTCCAATACAAACGTTGGAATATAATTTATAAATAAATGATTACAATCGGAATTCTTGTGTTCCGAGCTGACAATCTCAAGAGTATCCAAGATTTCGTTCAGAAGTCTGTCGGATTCTGAGATAAGATAGTCTGCAGTACGAACATTGCTGTGTAACCTCCCAGGACGAACCAAGGCTCGAATGAAGAACCTACAATCCGATGAATTTTCTTTTCCTACCGCGAAATACACGTGAACCTGTCTATTTCCGGTGAAACAAGGTTTGATGTCGAAATTCGACAACCTTGGGAGTTCCAGCTGATAAGCCATGGCTGGTTCAATGTGACGTATTGTTTGATCCTCGAGGTAGTTGGTTGCTTCGCGAAAAGTAAAGTACCCAGGATACTGACCCTTTCGAAAAAGCACTACGGTAAGACGCCTGATCTCATGCTCACGTAGTTCAGCGGAGTGTCGTTGTATGATAGGTTGTATATCTCGTTTTAGAATTTCATCATCTATCGGATCGTTACCTAATTTTAGAGCTATGTTAATAACATTATTAACGTTACTATCAGAGTAATCCTGTGAATGATCTCGGTTTGGTGTCGATTTGGGAAACACGCTCAAAATTCTAGCCAAGTGCTTTTCAATTTCTTCATTAGATTGGCAAGCGATCATGGCACCAACACGAACAGGCTCGTTCTCGGTGCAAGGAACCAAGTAGCTTAAATCTGACACGGAACCCGATCTCCTCATGCTAAAGGACGAAGATCTCATTAATGATGTTTGTATCGGAGGATTATTGGTCATGGTACTATGCAACAAGAAATTCCATGTGACCATGAACGGAATCTCTTCGGTATGATATTCCACGTCAAAAAGTTGGTAAGCGCGATAGGCACGCCTCGCATAAACTTCTAATGCGGCAAGACAAATCCAACTGTCTTGGTGATAAAAAAAATTCGGCAAAACGTCAAAGACCGAAAACCGTGTATCAATCAATTCTTTGAGAGTGTCATAACTCGGCGTATGATAATCATATCCATCGTCGCCATAGTGATTCTTTATGACCGCTGCTCTGAGGATTTGCTCCATTTGGGCGTACCTTTCCTCGTACGAGGGAAGATGGCAATGAATCAAGAGTTCCCGTGCTTTCAATGAAACCTTTGTGGTAAATCGTCCGTTGAGTTCAGCCAGCTTTTTTAATACCTGAGAAAAAAACTTGTCGAGCGCTTGGCCAACGTTTTCAGGTTTAATCTGATCCAGCAGGAGTAAAACAAGGTTGTTTTTGGCACCAACTTTGGAATGCGATAGCACTATACTAATCACCTTGTCCAGATCCTCTTTATATTTCTCGCGCAATGAGTGAACTACTTCCTCCTCACGTCTTTCTGAATTCGAAAACAGCACCTCAACCTCATGATATTTATTCAAGAAATATATAATATCTGACCATTTACGGAACTTCAATCCGGATACATATTTATTTATAATCTCTGTCAGCGGGCTTATTGATGCATTAAAACTAGTAATTTCACTGGAATCCACGTGATCCTTGGAATAATTTTCTATCAAATCATAAAGCTGTTTAGCAGGAAACTCTTGCATTTTCATTTCACTCTCGGTATAGATTCTTTGAATCTCGGACTCTAGTTTATGTGGTATTCTCCCCAAAAGCGCGGAGAACACCGAGTAGAACTCCAAATAAGGAAGCTCTTGATTCTTCAAAAGTTCAATCATCTCTTTGACGCTACTTTGTAATACAGCTTGATTGTCGTAACCATCCAATATGCACTCTAGAATATTCCTGACTTCACAATACCTCTGATGAGCTTTGTCTCCTATTATAACCGGAGGATTCATCGTTGGAAGCTGCCCGTCGAAGGCTATTGCATGACGCACTCGACCAGGATCATCAAGTGTAAGAATTCCTATTATGTCACCTGCCTCAAGTGTCGTATTGGCTTGTTTGATGAATTGGACGATACCATCTTCCGTGGCAATCAGGGGCATGAACATTTTCATGACCTGCGAAAAGATAATCCTGAAATTAGAAAATCATCACACGCTATATACATAAATTAGTAGAACAAAAGTGAATATCCTGACCTCGATTTCCGCATATGCATCACCACCATTCACATGGTCACCAGATTCCACCAAGAATCTAACCAGTTTTCCGGGGGATGGGGAACGAAGCTGCGTTGGATCATTTTCATGTTCTAGTAAGCAAGTCTTTCCATTAATCATCAAACGAGTTCCCTGAACTTCCTCTCGATAATAACATGTATGACTCTTCCCGTCCAGAAGTACCAAAAGGCCACCATCAGAAAGCGCACGGACAGACACTTGCGCTTTTGATCCATTTAGGTAAAGCATGAAAGAATGAGGAGCCGAACGAGTCGCCGTGAATTTATAACGGATTCCATCGTAGATAAAGTCAATGGCAAACACCGTTTTTAAAATATCTTTTCCTGGTATCTGACCTTTTTCCAGACATCGTCTATACTCGGCAATGGATTCTTGGGAGGAGGTGTAAGCTTTGGTGACAGCACCACAAATAATGGCCAACATTTTTTCAGGTCGCTCGGCAGTCAGATTCACCTCAGAAATTAACATGTCCAACCAACCAGTGGTAATACTGTTCTCTTCAAATGCTTTCGTTTCGAGTAATTTAATTAGGTATTCAACGGTTGTACGAAAATCACCTCTGATAGAAAGTTCTTTGAGCGCGATGATTATATTCTTGCGAGATTGCTGACGATTTTCTCCGTAAGCAAAAATGTGACCGAATTGAGAGTCGGCAAATTCGTGAAGACCACCAGCAGAATTGACAGAAAAGTAACCCCACACATTTGTACTGCTTCGAAAATTAAGTTCATGCATCATTCCACTGCTCGGTTTGAATCCGGCATCAGGATTTTCGGCAGTAATCCTTACTGCAATCACGTGCCCCTTTGGTGCGGGTTTCCTTTGTGTTTGCAGCGACTCTGGGTCAGAAAAGTCAAAATCAATCTCCGAAGCTCCATGGGGGGCTAACCCGTAGAGAATTCTAATATCTCGAATCCTATGGAGCGGAATGCCCATAGCAATCTGCAACTGAGCTGCAGGCAAGTTCACACCGGAAACCATCTCAGTGGTAGGATGTTCCACTTGCAATCGTGGATTTAATTCCAGGAAGAAGAATGAATTCTCCTCATTATTAAATAAATATTCAACAGTTCCAGCGCTAACGTAACCAACAAGTTTGGTCAGTCGCACCGCAGCTTTTTCCATGGACTCGAATGTTTCGTTGGTTGCAATAGTTACCGGTGCCTCTTCTATTATTTTTTGATGCCGTCTTTGCACAGAACAATCTCTGCCAAACAGTGAGATAGCGTTACCGTATTGATCTGCAAGAACTTGTACTTCGAGGTGACGCGCATTATTCGCGAGTTTCATAATGAATATCGGGGATCCAGGTACTTCACCTTGTACTTGAGCGAAAGACTGCCTAAAATTTTCGGGATTCTCAACTTTACGTATTCCTTTACCACCACCTCCCTCAGAGGCCTTTATCATCACCGGGAATCCAATAGCATTTGCCTTGTTTAAGCCATCTTCAACATCTTCAACGCATGCTTTTTTGTAAACATGCATCGGTACGATCACATGACCATGCTGATCAACATCAGTCTGAGTGATGCCACTTCCACTCCAGTTCATTGTCGGTACCTCCGCCGACTGAGCCACAATGGTCGAGGAGATTTTATCGCCGAGGGAGCGCATTGCAAATCCGGGTGGTCCTATAAATACAATCTTGCTTTTACTTTGTGCGAGTGATTCAGGCAATTTTGGATTCTCCGAAGCGTGTCCCCTAAAAAAACAATTACTCGAGATTAAAAAAGTCCAAATCAAAAAAAGAACACGTTCGTATGATTGAAATTACTAACCATCCTGCCCACACAGCATGTACACCTGTCCGTTCGGCTATGTCAACGATCAAAGAAACGTTCGCGTAGTTATTGTTATTAGAACCACCGGGAACTTCAATATACTGGTCAGCCATCCTTATGTATTCTGCGTTGATCTTCAAATCTTCGGGAGTGGCCATGACAGTGAACTGAATCGCTCGTTCATCGCCGAATGTTTCATAAGCCCATTTCCTTATGGAACGAATCTCCTTCACGGCAGCAATGCCATTGTTTGCTATTAAAATTTTCGTTATAACGGTATGCCCACCATGCTGTTCCACAAAATCTCGAATATTTCCTCGTGGGGCAACATGTAAATTGTTGCTTCCTGTTACAATTGAATTGCGAACCAAGAATAAACACGAAAGAAAAAGATTAGTATACAAAAGATCAACTGTCAAGTGGAATTATCTATGAATCCAACAATCAATTCATTAAAACTCAACATTGCCTTTCTTCACATCAGGCTATGGATAACACAGCCCCCCCCAAAAAGTGAATGCAGTGGGAAAAGGGAAAGAAAAATGGGAGAATGAAACTAACCAATAAATTCCTCGATATTCCTGTTCATGATTTGATTCTTATCGCGAACTTGCGATTGTAATGTTTTCAGATAAATTTTTTAATGAATAATTAATAACCATCTATTGAAGCTACGTATATGTTAATCGAGATCATTAAAAAGGTAAAAAAAAGAAGAGAAAAGAAAAGAAAAGAAACACGACAATTTAAGCGAGAATCCGGGATCTACGTTTGAAACATAATTAAATACAATATGAACGCTCAAAAATTGGAAATTAATGCCTAAATAGAAAACTACCCCAAAATCTGGCAGCATTGTATTCAGATAATCATGTGGCGCTTAAGTTTTGTGGCTGGACTAATTTTTAATAGGACTAGTTACATAAGAATAAATAGATTAACACATAAGTGAGAAGTCATCATTTCCTCGAAACGGATACGCTCATACATAAAATCCTCTATTTTTCACGTTTTTCATGAAAGCCAAGCCACACGTGTTGACATAGAAATTCGTTAAATATGTATTGTAACCCTATATGTAATGACGTACGAAACATCATTCTTTTCTTACGTAAACGACCTAGTTAAAAATAGCCTAAAAATTAATTAATTAATCAAAGATTTTTTTTTAAAAAAACTCAATTTAAAATTTTTGGTTAAAAAATATTATGCAGTATATACAGTATATGATTTTTTGAAAGTATAAAATACCGTAATTTAAAATGAAACATTTGTTTTTATTATTAGAATATTGGTAAAACACGGATATCATATATACTGTAAGGGCTTGTTTGATGCTGACTTCATTTTCCTTGGAATTTTTATAATAGCGGTTAGATTGTCTATGTCTAGCATTTCCTTGTACATATAATTGTGCTCTAGCAGCTTTATCAGCAACTTCTTACAACTAATTTCTATAACTTTACGTTCAAAATTACCGAATAACAGTACCAAGCTCATGTCTAGCTCTTAATGCATTTTAAAATAAATGGAACAGACTAAGCTTTACGTTATTATTTATTACAAACTTTTGGTAGTTGTTCCGTAAATTTTATCACCTGGAGACTCACTATCTAACCTTACAAAAATATTCTAAAAGATTTTTTGCTAATTGTCAAATTTCGCTACAGGATATCCTTGTTGTTTTTTCTTTTCCAGTCATATTAGGGAGATAGATGCATCTGAAATCAAGTTACTGTAAATTTGAGATGGTTTCGTTATTAATTGTATCATCAATCTCTTTGGAATGCATCAACCCCAATAGATGGTCAATTGTTCTTGTTTTTAGTTAGAGCTTTCTGAGACTGTAAAATATCTCCAACAGAAGTGAGTTAATAATAATTCTAGTTTTTTGTTTGATTCTCTCAATTCAATTGTAACAGGAAGCAACAATTTACATGTTGCCCCACGAG